TGTCAGTGTCTGTAAAATGAATTAAATGTTAGTATGTTAAATGGTAGTAAATGTTAAACAGAAATAAATGGCATAATAAAGCACAGTAATAAGCCAAAATATTTAATAAATGCATACACAAGGCAATGTATGTGTATGCAGTATGCATGTGTGTTCATTAAAAAACACCATGCATGGTTTTCATGTCTTTTGCTTTAGGTGTGTTCGACTTAACGCAGCGCTGCGCAGATTGATTGCAATCTGACTTGAAGCAGTGCATGCCGGTTAGAAATTTTGTCCGACTTGAGACGGTGCCGACGCCACGTCACTGTCACGTGTGGTATCAAAGCACCGCGAGAGCTTGACTCAGCCGGCGCAGTTTCTCCAGAGTGGCTGCAGGAGCTCTGGTGATAACACAGCTCAGTTTCGATCACGATTGGCCAGATTCACCGCATGACACAGATCACGTGTGCTTTGGGTTTATTCTAATATCCTCAATTGCAATAATGCTCACAAATCTGTGTTTTTAGAACAGTAAAGCTTTTTTTTTTTTTTTTTACTGTAGTCGCAATGTTATATTGAATCACGTTTATCAAAAAACACTAATAAAAGCATATTTACCCCAATTTATTGGTATTTAAATAGTAAATGTTTATGTTGAAATTTATTCTTGAACAGATGGTGCTGTATTAAGCAGTATATAAACAGTGTTTCTGTTGCTCATGAAAACGTTTCAGAAATGTCTGTGTATTTGACAAATATTGCATTTAATATCGCGAGAGCATCACTACCAGGAGCAGAAACTTGACGGCGCCGTTTTCAACTCCACCCCCGACTGCAAGCGGCTACTCTCGCAGATCGGTCTGTGCAGTGCTGCATGAAGTCGAACACACCTATTGTATTCATGCTCTTAGTTTAGTTTCCTGGTTTGTCATGTGTCCCTTGCCCCTCATGTGTTCATGTCATGTGCTACCCTTGTCTGTATGTCTTGTTCCTATTGGTTCCTTAGTTGCAAGTGTCATGTTCTCATTAGGTGTGCTCAACTTCCTTTGTTAACCTCTCTATGCTCTCTGTTCCAGTCCTGCCTAATCTGCCGTGGTGGTTCCCTGCGCCATCGGCTCCACTAAAGTGGTCATCTGCTCCACCATGGGGATCTCCGGCCCAGTCCGTTGTACTGTGGTGGTCTTCAGCACCGCCGGCTCCTCCCTGGCTTCCTGCTCCGCCAGTTCTGACCTGGTGGTTCTCAGCACCGCCGGCTCCGCCCTGGCTTCCTGCTCCGCCAGTTCTGACCTGGTGGTCCTCGGCTCTGCTGGCTCCGCCCTGGTTTCCTGCTCCGCTGGCTCTGACATGGTGGTCTCCTGGTCCACTGCTCCACAGCCAAGTTCTGCCATTGCCTCATAGTCCAGGCCCTCCACTGTTCCACAGTCTGCCACTGCTCCATGGCCCAGGTCCTCCTCTGCTCCAAGGTCAGCCACTATTCCATAGTCCAGGCCCACCTCTGCTCCACTGCCCAGGCCCACCACTGCTTCATGGTTCAAGCCTGCCTCTGCTCCATGATCTCGGTCCTGTTCTCTTTCACGGGCCTGGCGCCCCATCCCGCCCCCTGGACCACCACTTCTCCACCACCCTCCTGGACTTTTTGGGTGGTTTGTTAGGGTGTCTGGAGCTGGTTTGTCATGTGTTCCTTGCCCCTCATGTGATCGTGTCGTGCTACTCTTGTCTGTATGTCTTGTTCATTTGGTTGTCTTAGTCATGTGTCTGGTTTCTCATTGGTTGGCTTTTGTCATGAGACCTTCATTGTTTGGTAGTTATAGCCCTCATGTTGCCATTGTCTCTTGTTGAGTATTAAACGGTGTAACCTGCTGTTGGTGAGTTTGTGTTTCTGTTTATACCAAGTCTGTTTCTGGTCAAGTCTGTTCATGCCGTGTCAAGTCAAGTCTGTTTCAAGTTTGTTTCAAGTCAAGTCTTCGTTTGTTTGTATTTTGAATTACACTCTGCTTAAATAAACTGCACTTGGGTTCATCTACGACTCGCCTCCAGTGGACTTCATTACAAGTACTTAATTCAGAGAATTTAAATGTTTTAATTGAAAACATTAGATTTAGTCCAATTAAGCAACAACAGCTGTTTACCATAATGTTATTTTTACACATTGAAGAAATGTGCCTGAGATTTACTATATTTAACCCACATAGCAGGTTTTGTATCTTCTGTATTTAA